CCCTGGGATTATTAAAGTATTTCTGATTCTGATTCGTCGTTGATGGGACAGGTGTTGTGAATGAAACGGAGCCCAGCTTGGCAGAGCCCCTGTGTGTCGCTGAATGTGTGCATTGATGACTGAAAGACATCTTCTGCCTCCATTTATCTGTTTACTTCAGTATGTTGAATTCATGTTAAAGTGTATTTAAAGACATTTCAATTAATGGAAAAAATTGCAGGAGGAGAATATAAAACAATGGCTAATAAACCAAAACTTTTGCAACCTCTATGCAGTACCTCTGTGGACCCCCTAGGGTTCGCAGACCCCCTGTTGAAGACCTCCGCTTTAGCAAATTGTCCTCCATTGACTATTTGAGCTGATGTAACATGTAAATTTCTCCACTGTGAGATCAATAAAGTCAATCAATCAATCAATAAACTTTTGCACAGACTGTTCCCTGTAATGCCTTTATAAAAAAATAAAAAATGCCAGGGAGAAAAAGTAAAGTAATGTTAATATTTCAAATGCTATTTTGAAAAGTTAAGGTATATTCTTTTCATAATCGGTTTTTCAAATAACCTTTTTTGCATTAGCCACAATTCTAGTCACTTAGTAATATCTACAACACCTAAAAATTTCTGGATGATTTACTACACAGGTGAACAATTTTCCCTTTAAAATAGAAAAAAAACAATGATCAATGATCAAATGAGTAAAGATGATCAAACAGCATTTAAAACCTTGCTCTAACAGCACAACATTGCATCCAACTCTAAAATGCTTGTTGCCAGGCGAATGAATGAGGTGGTGTAAGATGAAGTTAGTGTAGAGTGCTGTATGAAGGCCAAGAAATGCAGGAGCATGGAGCCCATAATGTTATCACTGTAATCCCATAATGGATGCTTTAAGGCCTGAAACGAGTGCTCTTTGTACTGCCACTGGATTCCTCTCTTGGCTCTTTGTCTGGGGACTGTGCAAAATTAGCTTGTAATTGCTTTGGATTGTTTTGACTAAATGAAAAACACATCCAGCTAGATTTGTAGGAAATCAGTCTACTATGTCTATGGTTTAGAAATCTTTGGATAAGACTGACTATGCAAGTAAAAACAAGAACTGCAGGGGGAACCATGTGCCTGACACACACCAGAACACATATCTCTTAATTAGTTTGCTGAGAGCGGTGTCACATTGTGCAAACAGTGCATCATCATGTAAGATGCCTGTAGTTCACACATACACACATAAGGACACACACACATACACACAGACATTTTCTCATTCCGCAGCAATGTCCCTTGCACAATCCTGATATAAGGAGACGGGAGCATGATTCTATCATATATGAAATACAATTCCCCAGTGGACTGCAGCACAAAGTGAGGAGATAGAGAAAGAAAGAGGGAAAATGAAGGGAAGGACAGGGAAAGGCTGGAAGGCAACCACTGTTTCAGATAACAAAAGGTAAAGACAGTTGGATTTCTCTACTGCTCTATGAAGAAGCCCATTTAACATCCTTAAAAATGTTCCTCCGATTTACTAATTAAGGACAGATACGTCCCATTATAGCTTTTCTAATAATTTTGTCTTTTAGAGTTATATACAGTCTCTTCTAAATGTATGTTGACTAGTTGCTGTTTCCATCCTTTGAGATGCTAAAACACTCATCTTCAATGTGTTTTACTGGAGTTTTATGATAGACCAACACTGACACAAACTCTGCCATCATTGTTTTTCAAAATAATGTTCAGAGGACTTTTTATTAGCGCTGAAACAATTTACACATAATCGATTACTGAAATAATTGTCAACTAATTTAGTAATCGATTAATCGTTAACTGGCGTATGGAGACTCTAAAACATGCCTTTAGCGACAGAACAACCCACTTAGAGCAGAAATTATATCAAAATTGTACTAATATATAAACATTTTGCATTTAAGATAAAAAAAAGGTTTTGTTTGTTTGTTATCATGTGAAAAAGTTTTAGCTTCTTTTGGTTTACTTTTGCAAAAAATCTTCCTTAAAGAACCTTTGGCTATCCAAATGCTATTCGAATAATCAAAAAAAAAAAATCAACAGATTACTCTCCCAGGGCTTCTCATTGGCGCAGCAGCACTGCCGCCTTGCAGCAAGAAAGTTAAGGTTTTGATTCTCGGTCCAGGTTCTTTCTGCATGCAGTTTGCATGTTCTCCCTGAGCATACGCAGGTTCTCTCCAGGTACTCCGGCTTCCTCCCACAGTCCAAAAACATGACTGTTAGGTTAATTGGTTTCTCTAAACTCTCCTTAGGTGTGAGTGTGTTTGTGAATGGTGGTTTGTCCTGTTTGTGTCTGTGTTGCCCTGCGATGGACTGGCGACCTGTCGAGGGTGTACCCCGCCACTCGCCCGTAGACAGCTGGAGATAGGCACCAGCACCCCTCGCGACCACGCTTGGGATAAGCGTTATAGAAAATTGATGGATGGATGGATTATTCTCCCCACGCAGATGGAAGCACCAAATGCCTGGGTGAGGAGAGTCAAGGGCTGGTTATACTCCTGCAGTAATGTGTCGCAGTGAGGTTGTTGCAGGTATGATGCAGACATTTTTGAAGTGTGGTCTGTGCTATGTTTATTCCACACCACAACGCAAAAAGGGGAAAATCACAAAATAGCTGTTGGTCTAGATACGGCCAAGGCGGTGAGGAAGTGGGGGCAAGTTTGTTTGACAATGGATGGAAATGAGGGCGAAAAAGAGCGGGGAACCAGGTGGAAAAAGGGTCCCAGCATTTTTGGGCACCGTGCTCTTCTAGCCATTTTCCGCAATCGTGGTCATATAAACAAAACAAGCCGGTAAGGTACCAAACAGGATACGCATAGTTAGTTTGAATATAGATTTAAACAATCAGAGGCCTCCTGTCTACTGTGTACGGTCACCTACAAATTAGGAGAGATGCAGCAGAGTGTCTGCGGAGGGGACGTCTCTGCTTTCACCGCGACACCGACGCAGAGGACATAATTTCGAAGTATAAATCAGCCTTTAGAAGTTAATGGTGCTTTGTATATTGAAAATTAGGTCCTTGAATTGGTATGTTGGGAATATTGAAAATGAGCCCCTACAAACTATTTTGATGATGCTTTTGTGACAAATATTCAAGTGGTGTGTTATATATCGCGTTGTGCCGTGTGTGTTTTCCTTTTCTTCTACCCCGACTACTCCCTGTGATTTCTACAAGTTCAGTGTTAGTGGTTTGGTATGGTTTAACGCTATCAGTAACATTGTAAGCCAATGTCTACTCTGCCATCTTGTGGAGAGTAGCTTAGTTTGTGACAAAAAGGAATTTTATTGACCAAAGTTTTAGCGCAGTCTGACATATTATGATTTTTGGCTTGTTGATCATCATCCAAGTTGCTAGCTTACAAGAGTACGCATGACTTGCAATCTATGTTTGTGACCTGTGGTTAGCTGTTGGTTAGTTGTCGTAAGCCCCTAAGCTATTGGTTACCTTGACAGCAGAAGCCTCTCATCCTCACATCGCCACATTACATACACATTTCAATGCTGTTACATTGGATTTATTGTGGTGCTGGTAATTATTAACTTATTAGAATAACTGAAACCTAATAGAGTTGACCAATACCAAAGACTACTGCTACACCCTGCTTTATACTACTGCTTCACAGTATAATTAATGCAGCTAATCTAAAGGAACTAAGCCAATTGAAATTATCAAAGACTCTACCTCAACGACGCATTGATTTCCTTCTATGTTTAGGGATTCTTTGATGTATCCTGTTTTTATTTCAATAACTTTTAGTGGTTGCATGGTTGGGGGCGACAGTGGTGCCGCATGAAGGAGTTTGCCCTGCAACCGGAGGGTGTTGGCTTTCAGTGTTGTTGTGTCCTTGGGCAAGACACTTCACCTGCATTGTCTACAGATGGTGGTCGGAGGGACTGATGGCGCCAGTGTACTGCAGTCTCGCTTCTGTCAGTGAGCCCCAGGGCAGTTGTGGCTACAATGTTTTTTGCCACATCAGTGTCAAGAGACTTGACACTTTGGTCAAGTCTCTTGTCTTGGAAAAAGTACAGGCCACACTAAACATAATAATGCTGTGATAGGGATTATTAGGTTTAATAAAGTGTACCCTATTTTAATTGTGGTTGTCTGTGGTTATTTTATAGCAGTGACTGATATTCTTTAAGAGCTAAATTAACTTCTTTTCAGTGAACAACTTCAATAGACAAAGACAATATTTTCCATGTAGTTAATGACTAATAACCCTGCATGAATTATAAGACAAGTCATAGACATTTATTGGTGTTGAAGGCAACCCAGGCTTGAACAGCCGGTCCAATGTCCACCCACACAGATAAGCAAGTTAATAACACTGATAATTTAGCAAATTGTCAGGTATAATAATTTCAACATTTACAAAATTGCTTTCCCTAGACTGTGGCAGGAATGACACAGAGGGGAAGAAATCTTAACAGGATGATTTGAAAAGAAAAACTTTTAAAGCACTTTATAAAGTGCTAATACGGGTTTGTCGAAAGTTAGAGCACTGGTGACCTTTAGTTTGTATTTTTCAAGCTAGTTAGGAGTTGTTTTTGCTACTTTATTTTAATAATTTGTGAACAGAGTCTTTCAGACTAAGGTATGTTTGTCTAATAGAACATATGAAAGAGAATCTCACAGAGAAACTTTGGAAGAGGCAAAAACATGTTGAGCTTTAAGCTCCAAATAAACATAGTTAGATGCATGATTTGTTTTTTGTTTTTTTTATATATCTCAACAGTGTTATATATGAAGAGTGTTATAGACTTAAAATAATTTTCATAAGTTTGCACAGGCATCTGTTGGGGGCATTCCTGGTAGTGTTTGTGAAGCTTTTTATATTGTTTGTATCTATACCAGAATTAAACCATATCAATCAGAATTCTGTGATATACATTTTTTTTCAAATATCATCCAGCCCTATATGAAATATTAATACCTAAGTATGAAAAGTTTGATGGGATTTTCTATCCTTCAATCTTATAACTTGTGGAAATTGTAATACTTGTAGTAATTTGAACAAACCATCCTATTGATGCAGAACAGACCAAAGTATAGTTGGTTTGATATGTTATGCAACAAACTCTTTTAGCATTAAACTGTTATGGAAACAAGTTCCTTACCACATGTGAGCTGATGTTCTTGTAGGTTGCGGAACTCCAGGCCATGAAGGTGGGTTGGAAAAACACAGACTGTGTCATTAACAACCTTCACTGAGTTCTGGTGAGTCCAACGGAGCAACGGCTTCAGTTGACAGTCACAGAACAACGTCTCTGTGCCAAAGTGCCTGGTGGAAGTATAAGCATACTGTTTAAACATTATTTAGTAGCTCTTGGACTTCAAGGACACAGATGCAACAGATAGTTTACCAAATAAAATGCTTGAAAAGGGAAAAACACATTTTGTACAATGAACAAAAGTGAAAATAAGAGTAAGGGAAGAAATTATGCCGTCTCCTGCATATATCCTAAGCTGGTTACAAAGAAATAAGATTTCCCTGTTATTAGTGGTAGTTTTTATTTATTTTTATTTTTTTTTCAAAAAGCATTTACTAAGGAATAATGGACCCTTTGCTGCATTGAGTGGGTATTGAAAGTATGTTTGCCTTTCTCATTTGGAACCCATCCTCCTCAACCCAATTTTTATCCACCAAAACTGCCAATCTTTGTTGATTGTTCTTTCTTCAGACTATTATTAATACATCTGAAAAAAACATTTGCAGGTGAAAATGGTTTATGGTTGCCTTTTGTATTTCTGCTTCTTTTTTCTTTTTTTGTCCCAATGAGACAGAAGCAGAGATAGAGTCGATGCAATCAGCTGGTTTTCGTTAGATAGAAATCTTTGAACTCATCTGACAGTATAATGTGGGTGAATTTTCTCTGTAAAGTGCCTTGAAATAATGTGGTTTGAAATTGGCGCTATATAAATAAACTGAATTGAAAATCAAGGCTAATCAGAAATACCTACACTATTTCAAATGACAATAGTATTTAATCCAGTTTCAAAGTTATTTAAATCCTCATCATTTGATGCTACTCAGCAGGTTATATTCACTTTATTCCTAAACATATTGAGTTACCACAGTATGATTGGCTATTCAGCAACCAACTGTAAAAAAGTACTTAATATAGTACCTAATATGTTTACCCAGTTGTTTATATATTTATGATGTGGTCATCTTACAGTACTCTAAGATCCGGGAGGTATGTGAAGAGTCCATCTGACAGAGTTGAGAAGATGTTTCCTGATAAATCCCTGTTTGAGGAAAAAAAAAAAACACTATCATATCCATACACCAATAACACCATTATCTCCCACTCCAACATAAATTATACTAAAAACACCAGAAAGGCTTTAGCCTTTGCAGATAGCCTTTAAGTAAAGTTTGCTACTCACAATTTTGAGAGTCTGCTAAGATCAAGAAACATCTCAGGTGAGAGGCAGCCAATTCTGTTGTCAGACAGATCCCTACAATAAAGAAAAAAAGAAAATTATAAATATGCCTCATTTGCCTGAGAGTTTTTCTGATATTGTTGGTGGAATATATAGGAACAGAAATCAGAGGTGCGTCTGTTGTCATATGTGCTTTAATGCTACATGCCTGCATAAAGAACTTGAAAAGCTAAAAAGAAAACACTGTTTTTCTCTGTCATCCTTGCCATTTCCTGAGAAATTTGTCCTGACCTTTTGCAAAATTTCACATTTTACATAACAACTGCTGGCACAGATACACACACCCCAACACACACACACATCATTTTAAACAAACACATTTGAACGCTTGGAGCAAGCGACCATATGCGAGTGGCGGAGCACTGTTGTGTCCAAATCTCCACGCCCACACACACACTGTAATTAAAGGGCTGCTGGGCTGGAGCAGCTGTGGGAAAATAAGCAGAGCACTCGAATAATCACCAGTTGGGGAGCACTTAAATTAGCCCTCTGCTTCTCCCCAAGGCTGCGTGCACACGCGCCCAGAATCAATATTGTTAACTCACTGTTTGCATCCCTGCCAGTTCAGATCCTGCTAACTATCCCACTGTAATCATGTCCCTCAATCCTTAACCTTTTATACTGAAGTAATCATTAAGGAAAGAAGAGAGGTAGAAGCAGTGCCAGCTGAGAAGAAACTTTAATTCCATTTTTAGAACCTGAATCTTTTTACAGCTGTAAATAATGATAAAAAAAAGCTGTAAAGCCCATTGTTGTGGCTTATTGCTGGGTGTTACTGTCAGATATTTCTGTCTTTATGTTCTATTTTTGTGCTGCAGAATCTGGCTGGACAAATGGTAGGATTCCTGACTGCAATTCGTCCAAAACAATAAACAGCCAATCTCTTTACAAGGGAAGGATTCATCTCCTGCACATTTTCTTTTTTAACATTTGCATTTCACACATTATTGGTCACCCGTTATTGGTTATTTCTTATATATATATTGTAAAGTTCGAAAATTTCATGTAATACAAAAAAATACTTCTATTTCTCCTAACTAATTTCCAAAACAAGGGTCACATAAATGGAGGTAAAATAGTAAAGTAAGAGTCACCTTAATGAAAAAAAAAGAAAATCTTTGCTTTTTTAAAACATTCTTAATCAAATATAATAAATTAAGTAGATGTTTAGGTATAAACTAAAGTTCATCTCTATTCTCTGCCTATTTATATGGAACATTTTAGCCTAGTTAAGTAGTTCATTATGTTATCAAATAAATCAACCATGTTAAGCACTCTATAAAATTATTTTGTTGGGCATTTTGTCACACCAATTTGTTATTACTGATAGATACACCAATTTCTTAAAAAAAAAAAAAAAAAAACAACTAAAAGAATCAAAAACTAATCAGAGGACAATGAAAACATGAATTGCAAAAATGTTCAATAACAAAGAACATCTCATTTTTATTAAATTGCAACTACAAACCTCAACACATTTGATGTGAATAGCTCAATGACGCTAGCTTGATACAGTAGCTGTTTTGAGCCATAATTGATTGCATCTTGGATGAAAGTCAGGTAAGGCGGTTTGCACAAATGTATGGTCAAAAAACTGGGACAGGTATTGTTTTGAAACCACTGGAGTATTACCTTTTGCTCACTGTTTTGTAACATTTGTGTTAATAGTTCCTAATGAGAACGGTGCAGTATTAAGCAAAATCAGCATTTAAATAAATGTACTAAATTTTGCTTAGATTTTTTTCTATATTTTATACCGGCTCCTTGTGACAAACTAATATTTCAATATTTTAGCTACAACATGAATTATTTTTGTGTCTTAAACAAGAGATAATTTTCTTTTAATATCTTTGGTAACAAAATGAAAGTCTTTTTATTTATTTCTTAAAAGTTATCATTCCCTAAAAGAACTGTTGAAAATAAAGCAATTCACATAGTTTTCTAGAGCTAATTATTTCCACTGGACCCTTATAGTATGACTATGAAGCGTTGTGTGGAAACTGAAAATCAAGGGTTTCAGCCATGGATAAAACTCATTCTTGCTATATAAGTCAAAAACTAAACCTCACATGTAATAATTTCTGTCCTGAAGCCCTTCTTAGGCTGCACCAAGGCATAATCAAACTTACAGTTTCTTCAATTCCACAAGCCCACGGAAAGCTCCAGGCTCCACTGTACTTATCAGATTGTTCTTCAGGTACCTAGAGAAAACAGAAAAATAAAAATGGTCAGAAATAACTAGGTTATCCATTAACTTACCCACATGATCACTGGTGAGAAAAAAAACGCTGTCATATGAAATGTTATAAACTTCTGTTGGAAGAATAAACAGACAAGCAATGAACTGTGACTCCTTTGAAAAATCCATTAAGATGGCCAAGTGCATTTTTACATTGAGTTTGAACTTGGTAATACAGACGTTTTACAAACCTTTTGAAAGTTTAATCAAAGCAGTGTTTTTTGTTTTGTTTTTTTCATATTTACATATGTAATTTAGAAATGCTGGTGTCATGCTTCGGTAAGTTTAGGTGCACCTATTATCTAGACCACACATACCATTTTTTGCTAGCTATAGACCCAAACCACATCCACTAAAGAGTCAAAAAGACACATGTGGCAGTTTAAGACCAGTACTCCATGTCCACCCACACCGCCTACCCTTAAGGTCTCACACTACTAAAAATGGACCTCAGAAAAATCTCTCTGGTTTTCTATGCAGGCCAAGGAAAACTTCCTGAAATTGTGTCGCTGGTTTCCTTTAACTCTACTCTGTATGTTCTGTGCAAAGAAGAGCAGAATGGTAGCGTCTCTTTAAAACCCTCAGCAAGTGTATGATTCTTGTTGTTATTTGTTCCTAAACAAACAGTAATAGTGTTAAAATAAAGGATGCTGTGAAACAATACTTGTTATGCCAGAATATCAAAGATACAGCTTTTTTATTATAGTGAAAATGGAAATTATTGATGTACTTGGATATTTGCTGTGACTTACCATTTAAATCAATTGTATATTTCCTTATTGCATCACTATAGCTTGTTTTTTCTCAGAATGTATATAGTTCATCTATATAAATATGGTTTGTGACATAGATCAATATTTTCATCATAGCAAAAAAAAAATGTCAAATGCTTAGTGATAGCCTGATATTCATTTTCACAACCAGATTTAAAACAAGCTTGAATTAATGAATGAATGAATGACTGAATGACTGAATGAATGAATGAATAAATAAACAAACGAATGACTGAATGAATTAACGAATGAAAAGGAATTCATTTCAGACAACTTTGAAAAACAACAATAAATAAATCAACTTCAGAAAAATATTTCAAACAGACACACAACCAAATACACACAAAAAGAGACTGGTTAACATCAAACCGATGAGTTACAAGACCAACAGGGAGTGAAAAGTAGTGATCATCTGTCCAAACGGTAAGTTAACTTAGTTCAATATGAAGTCCACTACTGTATATAGTCTTCACTCTATATAGTGATTGAGGGTTTTATGGGTTAGGGCAGGGTTGTGCATTTTTTTCAGTGATAACTGGATGTAGTATTTGGAGAAATATCTTGATCAGTGTTGGAACCCAACTTGTGTTTCTTTAACATCCATACTTATGTTAAAGAAACCCCTTTTTAGCAGCAAAACAATCAGTAGCATGATTAATAATGTGGGATACTTTGTGTACTTCACTAAAAAATGCTACAAATTGTGTTTGCACGGTTAGGATACCCAGTTCCATCTTGTGATTTAACATCAACTGTTGTCTTCAGGGACATTTTTGAACTTCCATAAAATATTAGAGCACATAATTCTAATTTTAATCTGACATGGGTTGTTTTTCCCAAATAAGTTTTTTTTTTTTTTTTTTTTTTTACCATAATCACTTAAGAACATTAGAAGGCATTCTCCATAAGTTCTTATTCTGACTGCATACCCTGGAAAGTAGAGGAAAGTTGTCTTCCCAGAGAAACTGAGCTCCAGATCTAGTGAGGTCAGGCTATCTCCCTCTTTATTCACTCCCAGAGTTCGCTTTGATCATGCAAAATATGTTACAAAAAAGCAAGTGGACAGAGTGGTTAGGCCTCAAGCACCTCCTTGTACTCTAAACTGTCTTGGAGCTCAGCACTCTGCCATGTCTGGCAGCGGAATGCTTAAAATATTGTCAACTTAATGATTTATTGCCTTAACACTGGACAGGAAAAACTTCTGCATGAGTCTGCCCAAAACAAATGCATCACTGGAGTATTCTTATGGTGAAATCCTTAACATCATTAAAATAAACTCCTATTCTAAAAGTTTAGATTTGAATCCTGTATATTCTCATTTCCTATTTAGTTTTAGAAAAAGAAACATCTGCACTCAGTGAAACTACTACAATTTTGGTTTCAAAGATATCCTGTAAGTATTGTGTAGAGTTTACAGTATAATGCAAGTATGCAGGTGCCAAAGGCTTGCACGATCAGAAGAAATCATTCGAAAGTAAATTCTACTCCCTGATTTATAATCAGAATTGATCTGTTGCATCCTCTCTCAGTACTGTATACTCAACAGTCAAAGTTGAAAAAAAAAAACAGTGTTGTAGAGTGCAAGGTATCCTCTGCATGCATATACTAGAAATTATACAGAAATAATAAAAATATATTTAATAGATACATGGCTAAGCCATTTAAATAGTTTTATCAAACTTGATATAGCGATCATTCCAGCATCAGATGTCAGGCTGAGGACCTAGACGGAACATTTTTTAGTTTTTTGAAAGCATTTAGAGTGGTGGAAGTTATCTTGAACTGTTACAGTGATAAATACTGAACAGAGAAGTCTGTGGAGAGATGGTCCTTATATCAGGTGCAACAAAGAGCTTCAACAGGAAACTGGGAAGTGTTTGGAAAGCAGAAAGTTTTCTTCTTCTATTCTTTTCAGCACTCTCTCAAATGGATGTCATGGTGGATCTGGAAGTGCCTTTCTTGCTGCTGGAAGACCATATACCCATAGGTGCATGGGTAAGCCGGAAAAGTCCAGTAATGTGTACCAATAATGCCGGGTTTACACTGATTACGGTGTGGCTGCTGTGCATGTGCAGAGCATGTGTGCTGCAAATAGTGACTCACATTGAATACTGTGACAAGGCTGGCCCAGCTGAAGATCTGGCTCCACAAATGGCTCACAGGGAAAAAGAAGCTCTCATGGGTATTTTGATCTTCCCAGGATCTGTCAAGCAAAACTCATTATCTATGTGCATAATTATCCTTTTTAATCTGCCAGTAGCCCCTCTGTTTTCTTTATGTTTTTCCTTTTTTGGTTTTGCTAGTAAAGTTAGCATAGGTTGGTGGGTTGATTTCCTCTTTGACTTGTAAAATTAAGGAGCTTGACACAGAAACCAGGAGATCCAATCAGACTTCCTTTTTTCTGAATTACTTTCTTGATTCACATGGCCTTGGTGACCGGACCCCACTGGGGCCAATGTGGATAGAGACATTGGTTTTAATTATTTAGGAGTGACAGTGGCATTGTATCAAGGAGTTTGCCTGTATACCTGCAACTGGAAGGATGTTGGTTCAAGACCCAGCTCCGGCTTTTAGTGTTGTTGTGTCCTTGAGCACAACACTTCACCCCCAGCAACCCTGTAGAGCTCAGATATTAATTTACCCAGTAGATTAAAATGTGCGTTGTTTCCATCTGCCAGTACAGTATATATTTGGTAATCTAGCGGTATCTATCACTATTCTATAAGTTTTCAGTACTGAATTAGTTCTAAAAAAGTATTTTCCTCCAATAAATTTACTATTGCTATATATCATAATTGAGAAATATTATAGATAATGTATCAGATAGGAGGATAGTCAATGTTTATTCAACTTTTTAGCATTTTCTGGCATGTTTTCACTTTTTAATGGACTCTAAATTAGAGTCCATTAAATTAGAGCTAGGCATGTACTGTAGGTTCAACTCTGAAGTTGTTAAGGCTTGTTAAATCCCAGTGTTGATTAGTAGAGACAATCTGTAGTTTATATAAGAAACATTGTCCAGCAGAAGCTATGAAACTACTGTTATATACATACAGTAAATGCTTAGTGCCTTTAATAACTTTTATTTTTCACATTCTAAGAAAAGTTGACAAGTTGAAAACAAAAAGCAAAAGCACACTGTGACTTCCATGGCTTTTTGCATTTTTCCAAAAGTCAGGTTTTGCAATACCATGACTTCCTGTTCCTGAGGTTCCTCAGGCCTCTGTTCTTTAGATTATCTGTACTTCTGTTCCTGAGGTTCTCTGCACCCAAAAGGGTTCTCTGCACTTCAGTTCCAGAAGTCTCTGTGCTCCAGTTTCAGAGCTTTTCTATGATCCTGCTCTCAAGCTAAATAAGAGATCTTTCCTGCTACTGCAGGGCTCTTTCGGATGTTACAGTCTCCAGCAGAAGTTTCTGGGGGTTTTCAGGATACTGAGCTTCTTTGTGGACTCCAGTTTTTATCCAAGTTCCTTTGTGGTCACCATCCTTCATCTCCGCCGTCTGCACTTTTCACCCAAACTCTTTCATGGTCTACAACCTTCTCCCCAGCTCTTTTGATGTCTCAAGGCTACTCTCTAAGCATGTCACAAGATACTTTTTATTACTATTACTACCTTTTATTACTACCTTACTTCTATCAGCCTCCTGAACCTTGGATCTAATTACCTTTACTGTTTTTTTCAGTTGCTCCTTGAGAAAAAATAAAGCCTGTGTCTGTACATACCCTTGGCTTGGTAATCCTCATTCCTCCTCATTCTGCAGTTCTTTTCAATCTGATGTTCTTGATTCAAACATTCATACCTTGTTCACTAGCTGAGGTTTCTGGGGTTTACTTCATAACTGACAACTTTTATACCTTTGCTTAATCTTTCCTAAAATACAATACATCACAGCATTTTATGTTATGTGGTTTTGTACAATTGACATCTTAGGTTTATTTCAGAGGTTGTCTTTTATCTTTTTTTTTTTCTAAGTGCCTTTGAGAAACTTTTCTATCAGATAAAGAATGTGGAGAAAAACATCATATTAATATTGAGGTCAGGGTTAGGTCAGTTTTTCACATTACATGTGATTAAAGATGTATTAAAAGACAACTGTGACACAAAAAGGGCAAAGTTCTCTGTTTAAATTTGACGGCCCAAATTCCACAACAATAGGAATTCATCTTTATATGAAGGTTGCACAATAA